TATTAATTATTTTATCAAATTCTTCCATTATCTCATTAAATTCTTTATCATTAATTGTTACTTCTTTTTCTCTATTTTTCTCCATCCTTTCATATTCTTCAAATAAATTTTTATATTCTTTTAGATTCTCATTTAACTTTCTGCTAATTTCTTTTTCATTTTTATACATTATTTTATAATACCAAATTATACTTACAGTACAGTATTCATAGTATCTTTTCACTTCTTTACATTCTTCACAGTGAAATAATGAAGTTTCTTTCTTCCAAATTAATTTCTCAGTTACTTCATATTTTTTAATTTGTTGGGCAAGAATTTTACTTTCTTTTTCTCTAAAGATAATTCTTTCCACAATTTTTGTTGTTCTTCTTGTTTATTTTTCATTTATCTTTCAAGGTCTTTATTGATTTCTTTTATTTGTTCTAATTGTTATGAAAGTTCTTCATTCTCTTTTCTAAATTGTTGTAGGAATTTAGTTTCTTCGGTTTCTTCATTTACTATTTTGTATTCTTCTTCCAGGAGGGTTATTTTTAATATCTCTTTAATTTCTTTTTCTTGTTATTTTTGTAATTCTTGCTTTTCTTTAAACTCTTTCTCCTGTTGTTCTCGTAATTCTTTTTCTTCTTTTGTTTCTTCAAATACTACTCTTTTGTGTCCTCCTATTAATTTCATTTTCTTTTTAAATTCTATAATATTAATTACTAATTTTTCCCAATACTCATTACCAGTTATTCCCAATTCATCTTTACATTTTAAGCATTTGGTGTATTTGTTAAAGATATATTGTTTATGTTTCCAACAATATAAGTGTTCACAATGCATATATTCTAGATGGTGTTCACATTGTACCCATCTACACTTTTTTCCAGCAAAAAATCTTATTTCCCAAAATACTTCAGGTTTACACTTACAGGGGTTTGTTGCATGTTTATATTCAGCACAATATTTACTTGTCTCTCTATAGCAGGTACAAATTGAATATTCAATTCCTGCTTCATCATATTTCACTGCTCCATGAGAACAATATTTTCGGTCATGAATCATGGTTGTGTTAACATTGAATATGTGTATTTCTTCATCTTTCAGTTTCTTGTAATCAAAATATTGACATATTGGTGTGCAGTGTTTGCTTCGTGCTGTTTCTTCATATTCTCTCTAACTAATATATTTAGTCTTCCCCTTTTTATCAAAGTTTGCCTTTCTCATAATTTCTTCTTTGGAGTCCTTAGTCCAATTGATTTCTTCTTTACTTGATTCTCCTCTTTGGTTATAAAACTTCTTCCTAGGTTATAGGTTGGTCTATTAGCATAAACATTCTTCTTTATTTCAGGGGAATTTGTTTTTGTTCTTTTTACAAGCATTGGTTTAGCACTTTGTGTTCTTTCTCTTTTTTCTATTTGGAATTTTCTTAATTTATACAGTTCTTTTCTTTCAGAGATATGTTCTTTACCTTTCTTTTAATATCCTTTACATCTTTCATACCATTTGTTGTTAATATTAAAAGGTAAGAGGTCTTTCAATTTAGTTGCCCTTTTACAAAAGCAACAATGGATATCCATCCTCCAATTAAGGTCTCCTTCTTCTTTTTGTCTCAAGGACATTTCGTATATAGGTGTTCTCCTACATCCACATTCTTTTAAGTAGTTTTTTTTATACCTTGGGTTGTCACAATATTTATCAACATTAGTTATTCGGGAGTATAAAGTTGGACTTTCTTCACATCTGTTGCAGGGCTCAGAAATATACCATCCTGAGTTGCAGTTTGAGAATTCAAATTTCTTTCTGTAATTTATGGTTCTTGTTCTTTAATTTTAAGGTTTCTTTTGATAAGGATTTGTTCAGGTTTTTCAATTTATTGTTTTCTGAATAGGTTTTTCTAAAGATTTAATTTTTGTTTTCAAGTCTTTTGTTTTTCAAGGATTTCTTCATTGAAGATAAGTTTTCATCTTGATCAAATTCTTATCCTTTTTATAATTCTTCTTTTGTTTATCTTTATATTCTTGTATTGCAACTTGTTATCATTTGTTTTGATCAACTGTTTTTTGTCATCCCTTATCTTTATTTATTGTTTATTACTTTAGTTAAATTATTTTCACCATGTGTTTTTATCTTTTTCCTTATATGTTTTCTAAATTCTTATCAATGGTTTCCATGATTCTCTACTCCTGAATAATTTTAATCTATCAGAATATATTGGTTCTTTTAAATTTCCAAATTCATTTGATAAGATATAACTTTCTTTATCTAATCTTTTCTCTACTGTGAATGGTCCTTTCCATCTCTTATCAAGTTTGCCTGACCACTGTTTATCTAATCTTGAGTCATACAATAATACTTTATCTCCTTTCTGATAATAAAT